AAAGATGTACATCCAAAAGGAAGAGTTGTCCCTGCTGTTTCAGGCTGGCTTTGGGAAACGGCTGGAACCTCCTTAGAGGTGTTGGGGTGGAAAAATAACAGGAACTGGCTGGTGAGGGATGCTCAGACGCTGCTTTGGTTTAAGGGACATGGATGGAGAGGGAAAAGCAGGGCTGCAGTGAGCGGCTCTGGCTTGGAAAGCACAGGCGGAGAGGTGACGGAACGCGATCAGTTGGGAAGTAGAGGGGATAGGGAATATATTGGAGGGGTGAACAAATCACGGGGAAATCCTATCGCCGCAAGGGAAGGGAAAATATCAACAGCTCCAGGTTGAATCCTATAGAAACCTGAACGACTGCCACAGGTGATTTCCCCCCCCCTTTTTTTTTTTCCGCCCCATTTTTTCCCCCCCTCAACCCCATAAGGGAAAGCAGGAGCTTGCAGCTGAGCTCAGCAAGCCTCAGCCGCTCCGCTGGGTGCCTGATGGCCATGACACACGGCCCTTCTGATAGCTGCCAGGTCCTTCCCAGGTGCCTGGGAACCGGCTGGGATGTGCGACCCAGAGCTCTGATGGGCCCGGATTCTCCCTGTGTGGAGCTGCTGTTCTCTCCTCACGTCTGCCTTCACCCGTGGCAGGCTCTTGTCCTTCAAAATTGACTTTTCCAAGCATTTCTTCCCCACCCCCCCATCCCATCATTAATAAATCTTGAGCTCCAGACCAGGCAAAATCTTTGGAAGGGGCAGCAGAGTCTGCTTGTGGCCTGTGCGTGCGCTCAGATCCACGGTGATATTTCTCATGGATGGTTTCACCTCTTCCTTAACCAGATTGCTTTAAAGATTTATTTTTTATTTTATTTTTTATTATTGGTCGTTGTTTAACATTGTTAAAATTGATGGGTGCATCCCCCGGCAACGATTCTGCATCGTTAGGACCGGCTGAATTATTAACCAGCGTCTGAGCTGCCTGTCTTGGCTTATTTACCTGTAATACCTCTTGGCTAGGTCATGTCGGACTTGGTAAACAGCACTATAAATTTATAGCGCTGTCAATAGGTTTGTTAACAGCCCCGAGGCATCAGGCACATCCCTTCGGAAGAGGATGAGGGAATTCCAGGTAGCTGGTGGCCGAGCCGCTCTATGGCAGGGGAGAGAAATGGGGGGCGCTCCTCAAGAGGCAAAGTCCAAAGGATGGGCCCATCCATCGTGGAGGCGGGGATGCTGTTCGGCACGTTAATAATAAAGAAATAAAAATGCTAATATTGGAACGGCCCCTTGCACGCGGAGTGGCACCTGGGTTTTAAGACGAACGGAGGTGACCCCGAATTTAAGGGGTCAGCAACAAGCCAGGTTTAGCGCTCGTTGGCTGGTGGTCAATGGCACGCCAAAGCCTCCTGGGGTGGTCTGATGGGGAATTCAGTGCGAAAAGCCTTGTGTGACGCGCGGGGGCTCTCAAGCCGGCGAAGGGTTGGTTTCACAAGGGTGGGTTTGGTTGGAGTTCGCCTGGCAAAGCGTCCTCCTCGCTGGGCGCCGCATGAAAACGAAACCTGATTTCGAGAGGGTCGCAGTAGAGCTGACCTCATGGACATGTGAGAAAGCCAACGTGGGTGAATTAAGTCATTACAAAATACGTGTTATAGGAGCTGATCGTGCCAAAACCAACTTGTGTTGGAGAAGTGAAGCTGTTGATGTTGCTGAGTAACAGCGCTCGCAGCTGGCCCGCGGGCGGGATCCAGGCTCTGATAACGAAGGAAATGAATAATTGAGGCGGTCCGAGGCTGCAGAATAGAAACCCACAGGGTTTGGTATTGATCTCGGGCCTATTCCCGCTGTCCATGACATGCGGCTGCCTCTTGCGCCGCCAGCCAGCCCAGCTCCGGGCACCCGAGGTGTCGCTCCGACTGCAGGAGGGGTTCTTGTGGAGCGGAGGTGCAGCGTACGCCCAGACTCACTGCGGGCCTGCTGCTGCTGGTGGGTTAGGGCTGGGTGGCTTTTCCCAGCGGAGTCTCCCTGCTTGCATTTTATTTTATTTTTATTTTATTTTATTTTAACTTTATTTTTTATTTTTATTTTATTTTTTATTTTTACTTCATTTTTACTTTATTTTGCTTTTTTGCTTTTTTACTTTTTTGCTTTTTACATTTTTTGCTTTTTTGCTTTTTTACATTTTTTTACTTTTTTACATGTTTTTACTTTTTTACTTTTTTTGAACATGTTTTTACTTTTTTACTTTTTTTGAACATGTTTTTACTTTTTGCTTTTTACATGTTTTTACTTATTTATTTTGAAGAGCAGATACTGGGATTGTGGGAATTATTTTTTTGCACTGGGAGCTGTCGGAGAGGTGGGGAGGGGGAGCAGCAGCGTAGGCAAAGGCTGCCAAGGGGGATCTGCTTGCTCCCCAGCACCCCACTTTGGAGCTGGGGCCCAGCACCCTCTCTCCTCTGGGTACGGGCCCAGCCTTCCCTCCTGTGCAATTGGCTCTGGGAGCAGCAGCCCCAGAGGGGCTGGGCGCAGGCTTGGGTGTTTCAGGGGGAAAAAAAAAAAATCTGTTGTTGCGAATGCGCTGAGTACAGATTGTGCCTTGCCCTCTTATCTTGGGCTGGGTGACTGAAGGACTGGATCAACCACCCAAGCCACTGGGAGAGAAAATTTCCAGCCTGGTGGGGTTTTGGTTTGGTTTTTTGTTTTTTTCTTTCCCTCTGCTCCAGTTAATGACAGGAATCACATTGTGTTTCTGACGCGGGGATCGTTAAATATTTGGTGAGCGCTGCCTTCCCCAAGCGCCTGCTGCAGCTGTCAAGCAAACGCCGGCCTTTCCGAAAGGCTTTGCCTCCTCCTTCCCAGCGGAAAATCCGGGAGGATGCTTCTCCCCGGGGTCCCCTGCACCCTCAGGGCCGCACCAGTGCAACCCAGCTGCCGCAGCGCTGCTTCCTTCCATCCACCCCAGCGAGAACACCCAGTTGAAACGTAGAAATATATATATCTGTGAAATTAAGAACAGAATTGGGAACGCAGTCCAGCTGAGATGGGATCCTCTGCATTATGAAATTTCGCCGGGTTTTTCCTTCTGGCTGCCCGCTCTGTCACTGTCATGGTTTAACCCCGGCCGGCAGCTCAGCCCCCCCAGCCGCTTGCTCACTGCCCCCCAGTGGGATGGGGGAGAGAATTGGAAGAGTAAAAGTGGGGAAACTCGTTGGGTGAGATAGACAGTTTCATAGGGAGAGCAAAAGCCGCACACACAAGCAAAGCAGCACAAGGGATTCATTCCCTGATTCCCATGGGCAGGCGGGTGCTCAGCCATCCCCAGGACAGCTGAGCTCCATCACGCGTAACGGTGACTTGGGCAGACAAACGCCATCGCTCCCAATGTCCCCCCCCCCCTCTCCCCCCCCCCCCGGGGTGGGGTGAGCGGCAGGACTGGCCTTGGCTCTGTGTCAGCCCTGCTCACCAGGAATGAAAGCATCCTGGGGTGATCAGCACAAATCCAAACCACGGCTCCACACCAGCTACTGGGAAGAAAATAAACTCTACCCCAGCCAAACCCAGCACATTCTCCACCCCTTATTCCATCCCATCTCTGTCATGCTTGGGTCCCATGCTATCCCACACATCCTCATCACCCACCACGCCCTTCCCATCCTCTGATACAATCACAGAGATCATTCCCTTGGTCTATGGACCACCCTTGTGAAATGTCTGTGAAATGTCTGTAAATGTCCACAAAATGTCCGCTGAGTTCATTTAGTCCATGACTTTGGGCTCTGTTGGTTACGGTGGTCACTCAGGACAGGAGAGGGGGACATGATGCCTGGAGTTACCGGGCACCAAAGCCAGCTCAGGTTGGGTCACTGCTGCGCTTGCACTGCTTCTTGTAAGGCTTCTCCTCCCTTGGTTCAGGTGGTTCCTGCTGTGGTAATTCCCATATGTGCAACCCAAATCCTGGGTTACAACAACTTAAAGGTATTCCAGTCTCCATCGCTGATCCCTTTGGAGCAGACCATTGGGTTTATGTTGCAATGAACTCCTCCCTTTGCCCCTGCTCCAGTTCAGGCTTACCCACAGCTTGTAGTCCCTCATGGCTGTACCTGCTCCAAGCGGAGCCTTATCCATGAGCCACAGGCTCCCTGGGGCTGTACCTGCTGCGGTGTGGACTTACCCACAACCACAGTTGCTTCAAGGTGGACCTGCTCCAGTGTGGCCTTCTCCATGGGCCATCGTGCCTTCAGAGATAGACCTGCTCCAGCATGGCCTTCTCCATGGGCTACCATGCCTTCAGAGATAGACCTGCTACAGCGTGGCCTTACCCATGACTGCAGTCCTTCCAGGGGAGTACCTGCTCTGCTGTGGGCTTACCTATGGCCACATGCTTTGAGGTGCTCCAGCATGACCTCATGCACAGCCGCAGAGGCTTTGAGGTGGACCTTCTCCAGCGTGGACTTATCCACAGCCACTGGTGCTTTGAGGTGGACCTTTACCTGCGTGGACTTACCCTTGTGCCACATCCCTTCAGAGGCAGACCTGCTGTGGCACAGACGTAACCACGGCCACAGACGCTTTGGGGTGTCCTGCTCCTGCGTGGGCTCACCCACAGGTCAATGGTCCCTTCACCTCGAGTTCCCAACGGAGTTCCAGCCTGTCGAGAGCGGCAGCGTAGGAAGAGCAGCGATGCCCTGGTTTGGGGTGTCCTGCTCCCACACGGACTCATCCCCAGGTCACGGTTCCTTCAACTCGAGTTCACACCGGAGTTCCAGCACAGGAACAGCAGTGATGCCCTGGCCATCTGCCAGCCCCGGCGCATCGCCATGGCTGTTATCAGGATGTTCCCGGCGCAGCACAGTAAGATGATCAGCAGCACAGTGGCACAGCCAGCAGCGAAAGCAAACAGCGGCCGCTAACGAGCACCGGACTCCAATATACAGCGAGGCGAGCGAGCCCCGCGGCAGGCACAGGAGCCTGCCCATTAACAGCTAAATGGCCGTAACAGCCATAAATTCGATCTGGCACGTTCCGATCAAACCTGTCATTATCTCGAACCCTTCAAGCCCCACGTCGGGTGCCAAAAAGGGCTGTCGTGATTTAACCCTGGCTGGCAGCTCAGCCCCCCCAGCCGCTCGCTCACTCCCCTCTGGTGGGACGGGGAGAGAATTGATGGGTAAAAGTGAGAAAACTCATGGCCGTGTCACCTCCTTGTGCCCCCCAGCCTCTCGCTGGTGGGGTGGGGTGAGCAGCAGGACTGGCCTTGGCTCTGTGTCAGCCCTGCTCACCAGGAATGAAAGCATCCTGGGGTGATCAGCACAAATCCAAACCACGGCCCCGTACCAGCTACTGGGAAGAGAATGAGCTCCACCCCAGGCAAACCCAGCACAGTCGCTCGGAGCTGAGCAGAAGGTAACAACTCTGTGTGGTTCAGTCTGGCATCCCCTTTTCATTATATATTATATTATACTATACTATACTGTATTATATTCTTACTCTGTTCAGTTTGGGTATGGTAGTCTGGCATCTCCTTTTTATCTCTTCTCTTCTCTTCTCTTCTCTTCTCTTCTCTTCTCTTCTCTTCTCTTCTCTTCTCTTCTCTTCTCTTCTCTTTTCTCTCCTCTTCTCCTCCTCTCCTCTTCTTTTTATTTATATTCCTATTCTATTCTATTCTATTCTATCCTATCCTATCCTTATCCTTATTCTTCTTTTCAGTTCAGGTATGATAGTCTGGCACCCCCTTTTTATTTATCTCATATGATCTATGATCTATCCTATCAATCTCATATATTCTTCTTCCCAAACCGACTTTTTAAACCCTTTCAATGTATTTCCCCTCACTTTGTCCACAACCCCCTGGGGCCTCTTCCGGCCGGCAGCAGTGGGTGCAGGCAGGGTCCTGCTCTGCTCTCCCCCAGGGGAGCTGCTGGTGCTTCCCACCCTGGGGGGAGCCCCCCACTGAGTCCCCTCACGGGCAGGGCCAGGGTCACTCGCAGGGCCAGGGTGGCTGTGGCTTTGGGTCGCTTCCTGGCAGGACCTCACAAAACTGACCAAAAAGCTAAATTTCCAGTAATTTCTATAAAATCCCTCTAGCCTGCTTCTTCTGACCTCAAAGAGAGTTTTGGCAGGTAAGCGAATGGGTGGTAGCGAGAGGGATGCAAAGGGATGCGTGTGGTCATCCCAACCCAGGGGCCAGCCTGGGAATGAAAGCTTCCGATTAAAAAAAAGGCAAAACCCAGCCAATTTCAAACTCTTTTTTTTTTTACCATATCCCGACTCCGAGTGAGATGACGACTGCAGGTGCAGCCGGCTTAATTTGATGGATAAAGCCATTGCGGGTTTGGTTTGTATTCTGTGTGGGGCTGGTAAGGACTGGGATGGGGATGAAGTCAAATATCTGAGGCTTGGGGGGAGCGGGACAGGCGGGGTTTCTTGCAGCATCATCCCGGCTCCGTTCCTCCCGAATAATTGCTGAGTTTATTGACCCGGCTTGGCCATTCTTGACTGGCTCTGCTATCTTTTGTAGAGATATATCTAAAATCGTATATAAAATTAGATATAAAATTAGGTATACACACACACACACGTAATATTTATATAAAATGTTTTATATATATATACCGAGCTGCTGTAAAGCTTCTTGAGCACGGCAGCCATCAGAGGGAAAGGCTCTTCTCTGAGGAAAGGGCTTCAGCATCGGGGGGTCAGTGCGTGCCGCCTGCACCCCCTTTTCCTCTGTCGCTCCCTGGGGCTGGGCCGAACCCCAAAATAGCTGAGAGGAGCGGGGTTCAGCCCCTGCATATGGGGTCACTGCTTCTATAGGGGCTCGGGCCACTGGGAAATGGAGATCCAGGGATACGTGCGGGGCTGGGGGGGGCTTTTTTGGCTTCTACACAGCAACCTGGGCATGAGCCTGGGGCCATCGCTGTGGTCTCTGGGCAGGGGGGAGTGGAGGGGTGTCTGAGTGCCCTCTTCCCCCTCCCCTGCACCCCACCGCTGCTCCCCAAACTGCATCCTTGGTATTTCAAATCCCTCGATGGCAGCTGGGGCGCCGCTGGGAGAGGGGGCTGAGCCATGCTGTGGTGCGTGGCAGCTTGATTTTTATTTGGTTTTGCTCCCTTTCAGGACAAATCCTGTTGCTACAGCAGGGACCACATGGTCCCTCCTTGGCTTTCCCTGGATCCCACTGCAGCTTCCCATCCTGGCTGCCCTCCTGGCTCGTCACCCTCTGTGTGAGCCCTGGGGTCCGTAGGGCGAGGCAGGATTTGGCCTCTGGCCCTGAGCATCCCCTCTGCGCCAGGAAGGGTCATAGGGTGGGCAGGCAGCTGGGGGGAACTGGCCCCTCCTGCCCCCCAGGGATGTGAATCTGGCCCCTGTTCTAGTGGGGGCTGCAGCGCAGTTCCCTGCTGCACCCCAATTCGGCTTTCTTAGGCTTTTGGGGGTGCACATCCCCTGTACCCCCCAGCTGCATCTGCTGCTCCTGCCCTGCAGTCACACACTGCAGCCTGGCCTGGCCGCCTCTGCAGTGGGGCTCCGCACTGCAGCAGGGCCCCCCATTGCAGCAGACCCTCCCTGTTGCAGCAGGCCATCCCCATTGCAGCAGAACCCCCCATTGCAGCAGGGCCTCCCATTGTAGCTGCACCCCAGTTGCCCTGGGGGCCCCCATTGCACCAGGGTCTCCCATTGCAGCATCCACCCCCCCACGCACCCCTGGGGTGGGTATGGGTGCTGGTATGGTGGGGATATGGGGGGATGGAGGGATATGGGGATATGGGAGGATGGGGGGGTGGAGGGATGGGGATATGAGAAGATGGGAGGGTGGAGGGATGGGGATATGGGGGGATAGGGATATGGGGGGATGGGGAT